CWACACATACCAAAAGGCAAAGAAAGGTCAATCTTTTGGCCCTAGCTGGAGCACTCACTGGTTCAAGGTTCAGTTCACGGTGCCACATGACTGGAGCTATAAGTCCCGTGTGGAGCTCCACTGGGATTCCTCCAGCGAGGGCATGGTATGGACTGAGGATGGAAAGCCATTGCAGGGCCTGACCGGCAATGGCGAAAGAATCGAGTGGATCGTCCCAAATGCATACAGACAGCCAGCAGAGCAGACAATCTACATCGAGATGGCTTGCAACGGGATGTTTGGCAACCCCACAGGGGGCGACACCATCCAACCTCCAGACCCTAATCGCCATTTTACTTTAAAGACTGCCGATCTCGTGAGTGTGAATGAGGATGCACGTGCGCTCTTCTACGACTTCTGGATCATCGGAGACGCTGGTGAGTGATGTACCCTTTCCAATTCCATATCTTTGGGACCTCTGCTGATTGTTCGTTTTCTCTCGCAAGCTCGCGAGTTTCCTGAGGACAGCTGGGAGGAGCACGAAGCTCTAAAAGTGTGCAATGAGATCATGGACCACTTCATCGCCGGCGAAGGCTCCAATGTCTGCCTCAAGGAGTGCAGAGCGATCGCCAAGCGATACTTGGGCGACAAGATTGATTCTGCCGAAGTGTATGACAGCGACAAAGAGGCTATTGTCAGCGGTATTGGTCACTGTCATATTGATACTTGCTGGTTGTGGCCATGGGATGAGACAAAGAGGAAGGTCGCTCGCAGTTGGTCAAACCAGTGTGATCTCTTGGACAGGTACCAGGAGCATCGTTTCTGTGCTTCGCAGGCGCAGCAGTACAAGTGGCTGGAACAGCTGTACCCATATGCGTACGACCGCGTCAAGACGCATGTGAAGAAGGGCAATTTCCAGCCTATTGGTGGATCGTGGGTAGAACACGTAAGTCAACCGTTCAGATTGGCAATATTTTGACAGCAGCTGAGAATTGTAGGACACCAACATGCCATCTGGAGAGTCTCTGGTCCGTCAATTCGTATACGGGCAGCGTTACTTCGAATCTCGCTTTGGTGAACGCTGCCGTACTTTCTGGCTTCCCGATACGTTTGGATATTCGTCCCAGATTCCTCAACTGTGCAGACTCGCCGGTATGAATCGATTCTTCACCCAGAAGCTGAGCTGGAACAACATCAACAACTTTCCCCACACAACCTTCAATTGGGTCTCATTGGATGGATCACAGGTCATTTGCCACATGGCCCCGTCGGAAACTTACACCGCGGAAGCCCATTTTGGAGACGTCAAGAGGTCTGTAACGCAGCACAAGAGTATGGACCAGGATCCGACTTCTCTGTTGGTCTTTGGTAAAGGAGACGGTGGTGGTGGGCCAACCTGGGGCCACATTGAGAAGCTTCGTCGCTGCCGTGGGCTCAGCGACAAGATCGGTCTTCTCCCACGCGTCAAGATGGGAGCAAGCGTGGACGACTTCTTCGACCGCCTAGAGCACAACGCTGCCACGAAGAAGACCGAGCTTGTAACTTGGTTCGGTGAGCTGTACTTTGAGCTTCACCGTGGAACGTACACTACTCAGGTCAGGAACTCTGCATACACGCCTATAGAAAATGACTGACCTTTAGCCCAGGCAAACAATAAGTGGAACAACCGCAAGTCGGAGATTCTTCTTCACGACATTGAGTACCTTGCCACTCTGGCGACGATCAAGGGCGGAAAGGGGTACGAATATCCCAAAAAGGAGATCGACTCCATGTGGGAAAGTGTGCTTCTCTGTCAATTCCACGATTGTCTACCCGGATCATCGATCGAAATGTGCTATGACGACTCCGACAAGGAGTATGCAAAGGTCTTCAATACTGGCAGAAAGGTTCTTGACAGGACCTTGAAGGCTCTCGGCTTTACTGATGACAAGAGTGCCACCCCAGTTGCATTGAACACTCTTGGCTGGCAACGACACGAGCTCGCGATGCTCACCGACAGCGAAACTGGGAACATGCGCAGCCTGGAGATCATCGGAAGACCTGCCACCGTGAAAAAGGAATTGAACTCCAATGGTGTAGAATCTGCCACTGTCGATAATCTGGGTGGGGATGTGTTTTCTCTTGAGAATTCTAAGCTTGTGGTCAAGGTAGAAGGTGGCGTTATTACATCTCTTTTTGACAAGCAAGCCAAGCGAGAGACGATTCCAAAGGGCGAAAAGGCAAATCAGTTCGTGATCTTCGACGACAAGCCACTTTACTGGCAAGCCTGGGATGTGGAAGTTTTCCACCTCAACTCCCGCAAGGAGCTGAAATCGTCTACCCACAGTGAGATCACCGAAGACTCTCCATTCCGCGTCGCGGTGACCACTTCCACCAAGATTTCGGAGAAGTCATGGATCAAGACTACAATCTCGCTCTCTGCGGTCACCGAAAACGAGTCGTCGTACGTCGAGAGCGAAGCCGAGGTCGAATGGCACGAGACCATGAAGTTCTTGAAGGTTGAGTTCCCGACGACGATCAAGAACACCGAAGCGTCTTATGAGACCCAGTTTGGCGTTGTGCGGCGCCCGACCCATTACAACACTACCTGGGACATGGCCAAGTTCGAAGTGTGTTGTCATAAGTGGGCCGACCTCTCAGAAAATGGTTACGGTATGAGTATCCTCAACGACAGCAAGTACGGATTCGCTACTGTGGGCAATCTCATGCGTCTGTCGCTTCTCCGTGCCCCCAAAGCACCAGATGCGCATGCAGACATGGGACGCCATAAGATCAGGTGGGCGATCTTGCCACACACTGGTTCCTTGAGTGAKGTGACCATCAGATCTGCTTTCAACTTCAACAACCCCATGAGCGTGCATCGCCATCCCGCCCCTGAGGGCGTCAAGAGTCTCATGAGCGCCTTCAAGCTCACGCCTGACAGCTCTACGAGCCTGATTGTTGACACGATTAAGCGCGGAGAAGACGACGAGGATGCTAGCAATGGTGACATGCCAGCGAAGACCGGAAGGCACGTGATTGTACGAGTGTATGATAGTCTGGGCGGGACGAGTCGCGGGACCATCAGCTTGGGGCCGGTCAAGGTCAAGAAGGTGTGGAAGTGTAATCTGCTGGAGGATAAGCTGGAAGAGCTGAAACTTGGCAAGGATGGGTTGAGCATTGAACTTCGGGCCTTTGAGGTCGCCAGTTATAAAATGCTGCTTGCATGAAGCGTGCGTAGATAGGACTGCTGACAACCTAGAATTTCTGGCTATATAGCATTTGATCAGATTCGAGGGACGATTTTCGAGCCTGCAAAACGAGCGTGATGCGAAATGGATCTTGAAGACAACGCTCGACCTTCTGATCCGTACGGCGTCGCTTGCGGCAGAAAATTCAAGATGGAGATCTAAACTCTACATGTAGTTCCTGTATGAGTAGACCAGTTAGCGCGGTCTCACGTAAAGTGCGTGTATACGAAGTGATGGTGTATTTCTGTCATTTCAGACTCCCTTTTCTAAGCATCGACGGCCTGTATGTGTCGATACTAGCCATGCCTTTTCCGGCTCTTCCTAAAGATAATGGGTGTAACACTCATCATTGTGACTTGCGTTGTGCAGGTGGAGGACGTTCGGTTCGTGCTTACCAATAAACCACGCGGACGAAACACGACATTTCTGTAGACATGCTGAATCACGAGTGATAATTTTTGCGCGTCGCGCCGGCGTCTTTCGGTGGTGATGAAGTTTGAGGGGAGATGCACAAGTTGATGAGACTGTACGAGTGAAGTGAGAAAAATTGATGAAGACCCAGCAGATTGATCTGCAACGCACCGGGCCGTCGAGCCGGACTCGGACCCTGCTGCTAAATAAAAACCACCTGGCAATTGGAATTACTCCTAAGGTACCCAAGTACCTAGAGTTGGGTCATCCTTGAGCTCTACAGATTGAAGAAGCCGAGTAAACCAAAGAGCAAGTTGTTCTTTAGGACGAATAATCACGATTGCTGCCACGTATACGATCACTTTCTAAAGAGGCTCACGATCCCCTTCTCCAACACGTGTGACGTGACGCCTCTTTCTTCAGGCGACCTCTCACGTTTCTCTTTGATCATAAAGCCGGTTGCGAACCACAATAGGGACGGGATCCTAGTTCAACGCCAAATTGACTCTCCCTCATAAGGGCTCAGGTACGCGCAACGTTTTAACTTATCCTCCAAACGGCACTGACACCCGGTTTGCAGAAAGAAGAGCGCAAAACTCACCATGCGAAGACCTGGTGTGCCGGCTGTATGCCTCGCCGTTCTTGCTCTGCTGAGCAATGAGGGCGGCGTATCTGCTGCTCCACCATCGTCCGTCTCTTCATACGCAAGTCCGGACTCATGTGCTGTTAGTCCTTCTCTTAATTGTTCTTCCCGCTCCTCATCTTCTTCTTTTCCCAATCGTCTCCCTTCCTCTTCTGGCAATGCCAAACCTAACACAATTTTCCAGTTGGAGCCAAAGGCGCAAGTGTCTGATGCATGCGCATCATATGCCGATCTGAACACCCTCAACGACCGACTACATCCATACGTTCGAAACCTCGCGAATAATACCGACTTCTTTTCGTACTATCGACTCAACCTGTACAACAAAAAGTGTCCCTTCTGGAGCGATGAGAACAGCTTGTGTGGGAATAGAGCATGTGCGGTGGATACGTTGGACAATGAGGAGGACATTCCGCTAATATGGCGGGCTTCGGAGCTCAGTAAACTGGAAGGACCCAAAGCGCATCACCCGGGGAAGAAGCAACAACGTGAGCGACAACGACCTTTGATGGGTGAGCTCGGAGATGACGTGGGGGAGAGCTGTGTCGTTGAGTACGACGACGAGTGTGAYGAGCGGGATTATTGTGTTCCAGAGGACGAGAGCGCAAGTGGCAAGGGAGACTATGTCAGTTTGGCCGACAATCTGGAACGATTTACAGGATATTCTGGCGAGGGACCACATCAGGTATGGGAGGCCATTTACCGGGAGAATTGCTTTTCAAAAGCTTTGCCCAACAAGTTGGGTGCAAGCGTGCCAGGCCTCTCTCCGCCTGTATCAGGGTTCTCCTTTGACCAGGCACAGGCGGCGCAAGAATTCAAGCAGGTCGTCAAAGCCCGCGATCGCCAACAAGCAATTCAATCCGGGGGAACGCACGATGCTCTGGATTTCGAAGATGAATGCATTGAAAAAAGAGTGTTTTACCGAGTTATCTCGGGCATGCATGCTTCCATCTCCACTCACTTGTGCTACGACTACCTGAATCAGACAACAGGAGAATGGGGTCCAAACTTGGAATGCTACAAAGAAAGGCTGCACACCCATCCCGAGTGGATTTCAAATCTCTACTTCAACTATGCTCTCGTGCTGCGGGCAGTCGGAAAACTACGGGATTACGTACAGGATTACACCTTCTGTACTGGTGATCCCTCGCAAGACACCAAGACGAAGAAGATGATCACSGTCCTGGCCGATGCCATTCCAGCAGGGCCACAGATCTTTGATGAGAATGTCATGTTTCAAGACAATACTGCCGACGGAATCAGCCTCAAAGAAGACTTTCGCAACCGATTTCGCAACGTGAGTAGGATCATGGACTGTGTTGGTTGCGACAAATGTCGCCTTTGGGGCAAGGTACAAACGGCAGGATTTGGCACCGCACTCAAGGTTCTCTTTGAATTCGGCAACGATCAAGTTGGACAAGAGAAGCCCTTATTACGCCGCACCGAGCTGGTAGCTCTGATCAACACATTGGACAAGATCAGCTCCGCGATGAAAGCACTGGAACACTTTAAATTAATGCTTCAGGCCGAGCAGGACGGGAAGACAACTGCAGAGATCGAAAGGGTGTCTGACGTTGTGAGACCCAGCATTGTAACAAATTTTGATGACCTGGACGATCTGGACGACTTCGAAGATTACTCCACCAACCCGAAGAAGCCTTCAAAGAAAGAGCAGACCATCAAGGAGATCTTTTGGGAAGAGCTCAATGTTGTGTGGTCGGCATACATGTTTGTGCTCTCCAGTTGGGTGGAGATGCCGTTCAAGATTTCGTCGATTGTGGCGTTGGAAGTTGAACGATTGTACAGTTTCTGGTTAGGGCGACCTATGAAACCCAGGAGCTGGGAGATCCGATTCCCGAAGAAGGACGAGCTATGAAGAGGGCGCCACCATCGTTCTCGATGTGGTACTGATTGCTGCACATATGCATAGCGAAGGACACATGGCGTTTGGTGTACATGAACAAATGGAACGGCGGATCCGGCTGCCGCTGACGCGAATGATGGGCGGACCTCGAGCGATGACGATGTAAATACATAATTGGTCTCTCTGTGGCGCTCGAGCCGAGCTTCAAGTATAGGTAGCGACTATACAAAGTACTGGTTAAGGGTCTAGAGTCTAGACATTCAGCAAAGCGGTTCCATGGATCCGCATCGCAAGTGCTCCCGCGGCGGCGTGCATTACCGTGATAAGAAACAGAGGTTCTCTGGCGCTTACACATATCGACGTCTGGCGCAGGCGAGTCACATCGCTAGAGCGTTCTTCTAGCACGGCAAGGTGATGTATCACATGCGAGCCCTTGGTGATATTGCTATCGGGGACATGACCAATGTGGCCTTGTGATGTTTCAGCCCACGGTGGTGACCAGAAACAAGGCGAGGATGGTGCGAAGTCAAAACACCTGCGGAAACCGGRACAGCCAATAGACTCGCGGGAACGAACTACGCGCAGGCGTGAGAGGCGCACGCTCAAAGGCTTTTGCACACCCTCCTTCCCGGGCTTTTTTCCCGTTCCTTGAGACACTTGTAACCCATCACCGTCGTTCACTCATCACGTCGAGCGCTATCCGCCAGAGGCGTCGATTTACATTCTCTTCCACCACCTCGTCTGCTTGACGTCGACATTCCTTCGTTGCGCCAGACGGCATTTTGCAGCACCTTGCCTCACCAGACTTTCGCAATTCGCACGAAACCGAACAGCTGTTGTGTGAAACATCGAGATCCCTTGTACAAACAATCAGCGTGCCAGGTCGAGCGTAGGGAGCACGATTGCACCTTCTAGCTCGATTCCCGCCCTTTGATCAACCGTCGCAATCGTCAAACCATACTCCAAGAAACGCTCCTCTTACTACCACCAGGATGTCGCTGGTACGGGCCTTCACCACGCGTCGCAGCAAGACGGAGGATATTCAAGACAGTGTATACGTTGGACGTGCTGCCAGCCACCGCGGTGGGAAACCTGTCCATCGCTCACAGATCTCTGCGCCAGTCGCTCTGGTATCAACGACAAATCCTCTCTCTTACGATGCACCCGACATTGCAGGGACCTTTCCAATCGCAGTTCGAAGCGCCTCTCCAACACTATCGCCAGTCTCGCGCTCCAGTGAGGGCGATGACAGCGATGCAAGCACCCTCAGCATCGACACCAACACGGATGCATCTTCTGTGGGGGACTCGCCTTTGACAAGCCCGGAGCTTGAGCCAAACCACCTGAGCTGCTACTTCAAGCCTGCGGTGAATACTGCGACGCCTGATCATTCGCCAAGATCGTCGACCCGCGCATCTGTCGATGCACCAAGCATCCCACAGCGTGTCCCTTCGCATTCCAAACGTGCTCACGAGAAACTCCACCGCAAGCGCTCCGTCATGCGTCTCATGTCTCCGCCTGCAAGTATTGTCCGTCATTCCACCGAGATATTCAGTCCACAGCAGGAGGTCGAGACCGATTCACCACGCGACTCTCACCCCTTCAGCAGCGAGCTTGCCAAATTGGACGAGGCAGTGGAGGACATCACTCATGTTGTCCGCGATGTCGAAGACGTTGAAGATGCCGACGCTATGAGCAAGCATGGACTGGCCAGATTTGATGCTGCTGCATATCTCGAGGAAATCCACGCTTTTGTCGAAGAAGCGCAACAGGCCGAACAGCCGACCTGGTTCTAGCTTGCGAGCGGGATGATGCTTACTGCTTTGACAGCAATCGAACCTTTCGATCAGGAAATCAAAAGGTTGCAGATGCGATGTTCCTTCGCCATCACACTCTCTTTCCAAGGAACATCCCGGTGCTGAAGCAGCAGCAAGTCCTTCAACCAATCGACGCGCACCCGCGAATGAACCAACCACTACGATTCACTACCTTTCATTTATCCATCTCTGGCAGATCCCACTTTCTCTTACGACCGACCACGACTAGGACCTGCCGTCCACTCATTGATATGATACGCACTTTTCACGACTTCCATGGTTAGGGTAGCGATGTACAGGGGAAAATGATTCCGGCGTTTAATGTTGGCCGCGATGTTTCATGGACACGAGCCTTCTTATTTCTGACATCTATTCCTGGCTGTGTTGCTTCTACATATGATACTTTGGAAAGTTATGCACCATGAATCGAACCGAACACTTTACAAACTGCTTTAATACGTGCTGTGATCACCTGGTGCTCTGTGTTGAAATTCAACGTCTCCCATGCCTCTGCCATCCTGCTGCTCTGGTTCGGTTCAACGTCTTCCATGCCTCTACCAAGACTCATGGCATCTGGTGATCGTCTCGTTTCTATTTAGAGGTTCAACGTCGCGGCATGTGCAACCGTCGCAGGCTCGTGGCTGTTCCATGCGCACGGGCGCAGCGCGTTGTGGTTTCTAGCAGTAGCGGGGCAATACCTAACCAAAGCAACCTGGAACATCCTTGATTCCTTTCTTCACAACCAACGCTACGGCAGACAATCAATTGGGCCCGCAACCGCAGCAACATCAGCACGGCTTTCACAACAGCATGTGTTGACTGTCTCTAATTACCGTCCACAATCTCGCCTCACCGCCATCGCCGGCATCAAGGCCGCTAAAAACTGTGCCTGCAGTAGCTTTCCCCTCCACTCGATCACATCCTCTCTCAAGCCGATCCTTCCTGCCCGGCCGAGCTCACGCACGCACACTCTCGACTTCTACAACACAGTCTCCCTGACCGAGTCGCCAGCATGTCGATCGACATCGACCACACCCGCCGCAACAAGAAGCCGCGTCTTTTGACGGACAGCGAGCGCGACAAGCTGGACGAGTTCATTGATAACATMCACTACTCCTCGAGGTCCGTCCGCTCGCGTGAGGTGTCTGATACATGACGAGAGGTACTGATCCTCCATGTAGATACAATGACGATCAATTCGAATACCGTCATGTGCAACTCCCCAAGCAGATGCTCAAGGCCATTCCCAAGGACTACTTTGATGGCAGCAGAGGCACGCTGAAGCTGCTTTGGGAGGATGAATGGAGAGGCTTGGGTATCACGCAGGTGAGTCATGGATGGCAGTCTATGGGTGCGGGTGTGTGACAATGCTGACGACGGCTTGTGCTACAGAGTCTGGGATGGGAGCACTATGAGGTGCACGAGCCGGAGCCGCATATTCTGCTGTTCAAGTAAGATTTTCCTCCCCGTTTTCACATGACAATCACGGCAAGCTGACATGCCACACAGGAGACCGATGAACGGCCAGTGATTTCTTTGCTTCCACCCGGCAATTCGAACAACTCTTACACCATCCGCACAATCCACCGAGGCGACCTCCACGATACATCTTCCCATGGCTGCCGCATGACGAGTCTGGGTATGTCTGCAGTAAAAAGGGCAGAGTGCTAGTGGAGAGCATTGGGCATTGCTCTCATAGATGAGACTAGGAAGAAGACAGCAAGCAGAGACGGCGTTCAAGGACATTGATCAGACGGACGGCAGTCTCCCACTTTTCTACCTGCATTTACAGGGAGGGCGCTTTGACGATATTATGGCTTACGTAATGAACGGGATACGGCGTTCTCTCTGGTGGGCGAATGGCACGATGGGCATCCTCTTTGTCTTCTCTGTCTGTTTGAACTTGTATCTTCCTCTCGTGTGCATAGCTAGCGCGAATTCAACTCTTATTTGACACAAAGAAGCCAATGCGTTGGCGGGTCATTGTTGATCTGCCCTCCGTTCTGAGATGAGAGCGTCTGGCCATCTTTCATTCAATGCCGTTGGGCACTGTGGTTAATTTCATGCCGGTATAGCTGACTACCTAGGTAGTAGTATTGAAAATCGCATTCCCACCCCGTCAAACGTGCCTTCACGTTACCAGATGCCCCAGTAAACCATTCATCATTTCGAACTTTTGCCGGTCGCCTCAGAAATTGTCTTCTGGGCTTCTTCTTCTGCCTTGATCTCCCGCACCTTTGCTAGTACGACCTGGATACAAGTTTTAGCCGACAATCAACATAACACAACCACCAAACGAAACTCACCTCACGAAAGATTGCACTCTTTGCCAGCTTCGATAGACTCCGTTTTTTACTCGGATCGTGATCTTCGGCCACCTGCACACCTGACGAGACACTACCTTGTCGGCTGTGGGATGTCGCGTCGTCAGCAGCAGCGATTGGATCGGCAGGAATGTCTGACTCCTGAGGAACACCGTCCTCTTCGTCCTCCTGCATTTTCAGACTCTCTATCCGGTTGGCAAGCTTCACCAGTTCGACGCCACGCTTCAGACGCGCGCGCGCAATGTAGGCCTTGATCTCGGGAAGCAAGTTGTGGTCGGTGGCACCCTTGCCAGCAATCCACGGATCCTGCAGAGCTTGTGCGGATGTGGCACGGGCATGTGGATCTGGTTTGAGAAGAGAAAGGATGAAGCTCTTGGCCTCTTTGGAAACGTCTTTCCAATAACGCTCGTGGAACACCACGCGACCGTTCCTGGTCTCATCGATGAGGTCCGTGAGAGACTCGGAGCGGAAGGGCGAGTATCCACAGAGGAGTGTGTATGTGATGACGCCCAGGGACCACATGTCGACCGGCTTACTATGGCCGCGCTTCAGCATGACTTCTGGAGCTGCATATCCGAATGATCCGGCCATGGTCTTGAGCACGCCCTCGGGGCTATCGAGGTGCTTTGCAATGCCAAAGTCTGCGAGGACCAGATCTGAGTTCGGTTCGCGAGTCAGATAGAGGAGATTTTCGGGCTTGAGATCTCGGTGGACCACGTCCTTGGTATGGAGATAATCGACGGCCTCCAGGACTTGCCTCATGGTTTGGGAGGCGTTCTTTTCAGTGAACTTGCCCATCTCGCAGATACGATCGAAAAGCTCGCCACCTGTGGCCAGCTGAGTGATGATGTAGTACTTGTCGCGAGACTCGAACCAGTCCACAAACTTGACAATGTGTGGATGTTGAAGCGTTTGTAGCATCTCCAGCTCATCGTAGACCATCTGGTCGTTGCCTTTGACGTTCTTCTTCAAGATAATCTTCACGGCGACCTTGCCCGTAGGCCCGTCGGCCTCCTTGACGATACCATAGGTGCCAGCGCCCAGGGTTCGGCCCATGCGATATTTGCTCTTGCGATCATAACTGTCCGGCTGGCCGTGCAGCTTGTTGAGCATGCCCTGCACTACAGATGGGAGAGTCAGCTGTCGTCTCAGAGGCTTTGAAGGCATCTGAATGTGTCAAAGTACTGGAGGGGTGCGGTGAGCTGCGGCCATGAGCGGCCATGGCGATACACAAGTAGGATGTGTTCGCTGACAAGCTGGTGGTATGTGAAACATCCAATGCCGTGCAACGGCTACGGGGATGATGGTGTGATATGAGACGAGGACAGGGACAGTAGGAAGATGGTATCGCAGGACAGGCGACGGGCAAAAGTGCATTTGCGATTGGGTATGTAAGGTATCATCGTGTGACACCGTWCAAGAGGAGGAACTCACGGCCCGACATGCTTCTGATCCAGGGCAGTGGCCCTCTTCCTCCTTGTGTGTGCCTCCTTCAGGTACGTCGCCGAATGACTTCCTCTTTTCAATATGGTTTTCGGGACAGGGATGTTGTTTCGCCAGGCGTGCGTAGACGCAGAAGTTGGGCAGGTGGTAGAAGCTCAAGGTAGGTAGGAAACGAGTCGAACGACCCCTCGATGCGTCTTGGAGTGAGGCTGAGTCGCAGCTCGCTTGTCGATCACCGCTCCACAACGATGCCACGCTGAAGTGTGCTGGCTTCGCAACTCTGCTGTCTGGTCGGGAAAGGATAGCAGTATGGTTTGGAGATGAGCTGCCCGTCTCCCGTAGACGACGATCAGACGCGCCGTGCTTGATTTTGGGTTGCCGTGGTTGCTTTTATTATCACTACCTGCGTGCTGCCCAGTGCCCCTCACCTACTTCCCCGGAGAAGTACCGACCGTCACGTCTCAAGGTCGCGCTGCCAAATACAGCCCCCAGCTGCACGGAGCGGTCCCTCGAAATCCTTCCACAGCGCCATACAGCTCTCGGTCTTCACATCAGCCGTACCGAGTCTGCGTAGCGCTTCTTCGTCGCCTTTTAAGCCGCCATGGCCGGCATGGGAGCGAAGCGTCTCCAAAAGGAGCTTCAAAGGCTACAGGGCGAGCTTCCATCAGGCATCTCACTCGTCTCAGCGCCTGATCTTCGCGAGTGGGAAATGGACATGACCGTCCCCGACAATCCCATCTACAAGTCGGGCGAGACTTATCGCCTCAAAATCTCCTTCTCGCAAGCCTACCCCATCGAAGCACCCGAAGTGGTGTTTGTCACGCGCACAGATCCAGAGAGGAAGATACCGATGCATCCACACATCTACAGCAACGGCATCATTTGCTTAGATCTACTGGACCCGCAAGGATGGAGTCCAGTACACAACGTGGAGAGTATTTGCATCAGCATTCAAAGCATGCTTGCGAGCAACACGWAGGATGAGCGTGAGTGTGTTGACGGAGGAACGATGGATCACACTTCTGACACACTTCCCAACAGGTCCTCCCGGCGACGCTGAGTTTGTGAGGTCCAACAGACAGCSGCCGCGCAACATCAACTTCGCATATCACGACCCGAACGTATAGGATGCTCAATTGGTACTTCATGCTTGGAGGAGGCGCTAGGGTCCTTGAATCGAGGAATACAAGTGGTGATGAATCAGGAAATTGGAGTACTTGGCTTGATGTGTGAATGATTGGGTAGGGTACTGCATGCAATTTGAGCGAGCATATTGGGGCGTTCGAGGGATAAAACACTACAAGTCGTTCACGAGTATGGAGTATGGAGTACTGTACGAATTTATGCATACTTTCCCGTTGCTACACTGCTTTCCCATCTGTACCTCGCTCAACAGGACTTATCTTAATCAAAGTCGTCGAGTGTCTTCCTTGAATTCAGCCGGGAAATATCCATGAATGGACCTTTCATGTGACGGACCCTGTATATGGAATAGGTACTTTGTAGAGCCTCGGTGATCGGCACTTGGGCTCTCTCCAACTCATATTCACTCGCCATGGCGCGGTCTTCGACGCTCCCGGCATGGCTGCTCTCACACCTGCATCCAAGAAGGCCATAGCGAATCTTCRTGCTTTCACCGCCCCTCCCACAAACTACTACCGATGTCCTTTGACGCGTCGTGCGGCAGTGCTCATCCTGCTGTTCGCTGACAAGCGGGGCGATCTGCGGGTCGTCTTGACCATCCGAAGTCTAGCGTTGAAGAACTGTGAGATGTCGCAATGCGATGGACGCGCCTTGCCAATGCTGATTCTGCGCAGATGCTGGCCAGGCGGCCCTTCCAGGCGGCAAAGCAGATACTCTCGCCGAAACACCTTTCACTACGGCCCGCCGTGAGGCGTTTGAGGAAATCGGATTGCCCATGTCCGATCATGCTCTTCCTCCAGGATATACAGTTGAGCACCTTACAGAGCTTMCCGCAAACCTGGCCATGACCGAGCTTGGCGTAAGACCATGCGTAGCATACTTGAAAACACCAGCTCCAAGCGACAGGAACAAGGATCCAGATGCCTCGAGGGACATTCTCCCCAAAATACAACTCGATGAAGTTGCGGCAGTGTTCACAGCTCCCTTTGAAAACTTCCTCCATGAAACAGATCTGGATGAGGAGATCAGGAAAAACGTTCCAGGGGAGTGGTATAGAGGGAGCTGGCATAGCTGGCATGAAAGTGCATGGAGGATGCATCAGTTCTTTGTACCAGTGGCCCCTTCATCTGTCTTCCTGGCCAAGAAGCCAAGTGCATACACAGATCCCAGGCCTCCGAAACCCCCTACTTCTTCTACGACCAACAAACGATCTACTCCGTCCTCTTCTTCCGGGTCCACGCTACAGCCTCCTCTGCCGAAGTCGTTCTATACCAACACGAATAATGCTCTGGAACAGCCTCGATATCGAGTATTTGGCATGACGGCGAGGATACTGGTGGATGCTGCTAGGGTGGCGTATGGAAGGGAGCCTGAGTATGAGCACAATAGTCACTTTGGAGATGAGGACATGATGGCGAAACTTATGAAGATTGGACGGTTGAGTGCCATAAAAAAAGAGGGAGAGACCTTGACAAGGGATGTTATGAGGGAAGCGGCCAAAGCGAAAATTTGAGAGGCGTTCTGCATGCTGTGTAGGCTGCTTGGTCGTGATATGAGAATCCCATGACCACGTCTAACGACTCCTTTTCGAAGACTCCTCACAAACCGCGCATATCCCCTGTCCTTCAAGGCAACGTTTTGAGTTATAGCAGTGGTCACCTTACAAATTTCTCAGAGGTCCACATGCAACCTGGAAGTAGTTATCGTTGACTTGATTGATGTACACGCCGGCGTGGTGATTCCGAGGCTACCCCAACCCGAACCCTAGTCACAACCCAATCATGGTGATCACAACATTGGTTGAGGACGTTGCCTGGGCTCGTCTGATCATGCATGTAGGAAGAAAGCAATCAGTGGGAGCACCAGTCTGTATGTTGATAGTAAGAAGAGAAAGAATGTCTGTTATATGTTATACTATGTGCACGATGCGCGAAGATCTAACCTGTGTATCGATTGTATCAGTGGATACGCGTGCGACACCGCAACGGCAAAGCGCCAATCCATAAGACTGTGGGTATCCTCTCATGMCATTCTCGGCCAGACCATTCATGGTTTACGCGTGGTCCAAAACCACACAATTGCTGACATTGGTCTTCCTCTTGCTCACTCCAATGGCTTCGCCTGACCTTGCACCAGCCGCTCCAGCCGAAATGCCACTTACACGCATGGGAGGATGCTCGGCCATGTACTCTCCTCGGATACTCTTGGCATCGGCATCCCACTTCGCAACAGCGGTCTCCCACTCCCTCCTGATAGCATCCGCCTGCTCCTGCGCAGCCTGACTCTGTACGAGATATGGTTGTTTATCCTGATCAGTGGCAGCTTTCCACCACTTTCCAATCGTTTGTCGGATCATGTCCCGCCCCGATGAAGCATACTCCTTGGCGCAGAACGCTTTGACATCTTCCCACTTATCTTTAGTAAAGAGGAGAAAGGGATTGACGCCTGGTCGAGCAGGCTTCATAGGACGGTCGCCAATCCGAGAAAGAGTCACAGCGACGATCGAGGCTTCGTAATCGAGATCCGAACTGTCGTAGGAAGCAGAAGCGGACACCCAAAAGGACGTGTCGGTTGGGCAAACACTTTGCTTCGGTGGGCCGCTGAGTTTCTTTGGCGCTGATACCGAATGGACAGATGACTGAGCCGTTGCATCAGTGGCTGGCTGTGTTGTGTCCTCTTCAAGCTTGATTGCGGAAGGGGCATTCGCTTCGACCATGTGCGCCCCTCCTTCCGTATCCAAGGAAAGCTGTCCGTGCGATTCTGCTGGAGCAAAAGGCATGGTGTACATCGCATGTGTCTCGGGCTTCACAGGACCAGGGCCCACCAACGGGTTCGGCAGGCTGATCAGACCAGCCATGTCATCCATAACCTCCGAGGCGACCCTCAGCCCGGATAGAAAGGCGCCGTGTACGGTAGCTGGATGTGTCCCACAAGTCGCTYCTCCTGCGAAGTGAAGGTTGCCCACGGATCTTGCCATGATGTCGTAATCACCTGGCCGCGTTTCCGGTGCGACGTACGAATATGTGCCTCTCGAGAATGGATCTCGTTTCCACCGTGTGACAATAACCTCGCGCGGTGCTGGTACTTCAGCCGACGTGAAGACGCCACTCAGCCTCTCTGTGACTTCGCTCAGGAGCGTCTTTGTATCCGTAAACTCCGCATCGTGTGCCGCGTTGCCAGCCATTAGCGCAACGAGCACTGGTCGCCCGCTAGTCTTGGAAGCGTTCCATATAAGATAAAAGCGGCCTCTTCTCTTTTCATAATCAGAAGGATCGAGGCTGGCTGCTCTTTCGGCTTCGTTGAGCAGACCAAACATGTCACGGTCTTCGTCCCAGAACGGCTTGTCGTAAAGCAGGATCACCTGCAAGATCATGATTAGCGTGTATCTTGACAGGATCATGATGGCTACTGTCATACCTTGTTCAGCAGCCCAAAGCCCATGCGACTGATCGCGCCACGCTTCCAGCTCGGAAGAGGAGGGTCGAAATCGACCATGTCAGACTTCAGCACGCCGAGAGGAACAGTCATGACAATCTCATCAGCTTCAATGACCTCGCCATCGGTGCACACAATCCTCGTGGTAAGTGGTCCGTTACTCTCATCGCCGTTTTCGTAATGTATGCTTTCGATGATTCGATCGAAGCGTACATCCAGCTTGGTCGGGAGGTTCATCAGCCCCCGAGGAAGCTGCGTATATCCACCAATGATCTCTGAGTGGKCTCCTTCAAACTCATTACCAGTGTCCTGGTCATGACCACTCAAGCTGAGAGAGGTCACGGGCGCGGCATTGGCGTACTCCAAGTTCGCGTGGTGCCAGTTCAGAAGTCGCATGTCCAGCGGTGTGAGGTCGATAAGATCCTGGTACTGCGTAATGGCCTCGTCCATGACTTTGCCAAGGGTAGGGTGGGCGGAGGAAGATGCGGCTTTGTGTAAAGATACACTCTGATTCTTGGCTACACCCTCTTTTACGCGCCAGCCCATATCTTTGACAGCTTTTGAGGCACTGTGGATTGCGGTGTCGCCCTCGATCACCTCGCTTCGGCCGGTGAGCTTTTCCGTACCGGGTGGTGCATTTCGCCTCCTGCCTCTTCTTGCCGACGGCTTGTACGACTTGATGTGCGCCTCAGGGAGAGGCTCAAGATGAAAAGCTGCGAAACCGTCGGGCGGAGGGTCGCGACATCGGTTGATGAGATCTTCGTCGCCTTCTAGAGTCTGTGGTTTCCGTGCTTCAGCTCTGTATGCTCCGGCGCGGTCAGAGATGTCGGTGTACAAGTCAGTATTGAGTTTGTCTTGGGTCTCATCGATCGGACTGCCATCGGTGTCATAGATTGTCAAGGCGTCTCTCATAAGGTGATATCGTAAGCCCAGCTGGCCACGGATGACGGTATCGAGAGGGTTCCCGTGATCGAATCCCGTTACAATCATTGCCCCGGTTTCCGCCGTGTTGCGCAAGTCGTCTGGCAAACTGCCCACGACCTGAGATCTCAAGGGCTTGGAGTATACACGACCACCAATTCGTTTCCTTCCCTCCAACACAATGACCCGCGGTGGTCGCTCGTTCATCTCAACCCACTTCGCTGCTTCTTGCACGAACAGGCTCTCAAGTTGACGTGCCGCTGTGAGTCCTGAAACACCTGCGCCGACAACCACCACAGTTCGTTGCCTCATATCTCTGCCGAGCTTTTTTGGTAACGATTGATCTCTGGGAACTTCCACGCAGCCAAAGTTGATATATCCATTGCGTATCAGCCATCGATAGGCGGCCTCAGCAATGCCAAAGAATCGTGTCTCCTTCGCACAGCCGGCGGCTTCTTCACTCGTGACGCTGCAAAGCGGATTCTGCGTCCAAAGCCGAAGGATTGCATTGCGGACATTGAGGTAAACGGTGACTTCCTTAGACATCAATAAGTCGACCAACAACTTATGCTCGCCCGGGTGCAGAGAGTATGGGTCCAGACGGGACGATGCTGCCGCCTCGATGCATTGACTAGCATATACATCTGCGGGCAGGCGGGCGGGGATGGAAGATCGAGGCCGGGCAATGATCTCAGGCTTAATAAAGTTAGGTGATTTGGAGGCCTTGACACCCTGCGGGACTTTTGGAGTCGTGATCGGTTGGCCATCTGGATCTAGTGGTCTTTCCTTTGGTGGACGACCGCGTTTTCTTGGCGCCTTCTGTGGTGGTTGCAAAGGGTCTGCGGCTGCGCCGCCCTCGATTTGCGCTGTACTGGCGGCAGCTGAGGGCTGGACATCGTGAGGCGAGTGAGTTTTAAGCTCGCCATCGATCCATCGCTTTCTAGATGGTTGAGCGACAGTTATGTTGTCAGCGAGAGCGTCATCGGCGGCAACGGACGAGGACATGGAGGAGATGCCAGTACTGGCGGTCGACTCCAATGAACCATATCGCTGCCATTTGCCGTTACTATCGAGCTGCCATTTGTCTTTTTGGTCTAGACCAGTAGAGTCTCGATCGAAAACTTCGGTGCCGGTCGAACTGAGACTCGAGTCGTCTTCCTCGATGATTGAGGGGCGTAAATCGTTGATGTCGCCTTCTCTCCGTGCAGATATATCGCTCCCTAGAGCAATGTAACCAGAGTCCGACATCACTGTTACCATCTCATCCGACTTGTCGTTCATGAACGCGAGCGATGGGTTGGAGCTGTGACCATGGTGCCGTCCAATGCCGATATAGTATGAGATGGGAGGCGGAGTCGAGGATTTTCACCGAGTCCTAGGCCAGAGAATGCTCCAGCGAGTGTTTAATGCAGATGTTTTGATGAACGACCGAGTCAAATCTCGTGCGATGTCCACTCTGCCTCTTTCCGGTATGTAAATGACGAGTCAAATGGGCGGGTGGTGTTGCATTGCATCGCATCGTACTGCATGTGAATTGAGGTTCCCGCTCGGACAAGTCTTGCCGCCCCCCTCTTCTTCACTTTAACTTCACCTCGTTCATCAGACGACATACCACCATCACGACATCCGAAACCCTCGGTCCGGGCTGCAATGCACTTCCATCGAAAGCGCGAGCACATTAAACCATGATGCAGGGTGCGGCCAGTTTCTTACAGCCTTCGGGAGACGGCGCTGTCGTGCAAAACATTGGCATACATCGTTCTGATAGAGAGGGAATACACTCGATGCAACGGCCAGTAGAGGGCAGAGCAAGGCCATCTCAGACATACTATACATTCCGAAGAAGCAAGAGATGATTTCCCACCATCACTGGTCGGTAACCTCGCAAGACTGCGAAGTATCATTGCCGCCGCGCAATGTTACTATGGGAGCGAGGCCAAATTTGCGAAATTCAGATGCCTTTGCTCTTGAGCGTATATATATACATATATATGGACATGTCCTGCTTGCTGATGGATATCAGATCAGATTTTTGTCCAGCATGATCCGGATGAAACCCGCATTTCTCCATTACTTTTCCGTCGATACCAAACGCAGCCACCGAGTCCCAAAAGCCGCAGCAAAGACTACCTTGTTGTAAAAACAATATAATTTGCTCACCATTTACGAATGCACCGCATGCAGCACACTGCAGAGGGTGTTGAAGGTCCGTCATTTATTTTGCAGGTTCAATTTGGCGTCAAGTGCGGAACTTGGAAGGTGCCCACAATGCAAGGCACGTAAAAATGGAGGACATCCCGGTGAGGCTGCGGACGGCAGTTGACCAAGCTGAGTGGGATGTCTGGTCCATTATTTCCTCAGCGACTTCAACAGACCCAATACATATCGTGGGAGGAAAAGACGGCGCAGTGACCGTGTACTACATGACATTGTTCATTGCAGGATTTTTGAAACAGGTTGATCATGCAGACTATGGCGACTCTAGTAATCATCGCTGTCTTCTTCGGTCGCCTGCGCTCCTAGCCCGAGCCCACCTCGACCTCTCATAGAACCACCAAAGCCAAGTCCGGCGCCTAAAGATCCGTGCTGCTCGTTGCCATCGTCGCTGTCGCTGTCTACGTCCATTGAGATTTCAGCGWGCTCAACTTTTCCAGCACCGTTCAATGTGTTCCCGCCGCCACTCTCAACCAATGCAGAGGGGATCGCGACCGCCGTGGCATTCGTGGCGTTCTCACTGTTGATGCCTTTCTCCTTTCTGAGATCCTCATATTTCTTCGCAGTTTCTTTCAGCGCGCGCTGAATGTGAACTTCCTCCTGCGCTAGGCGAGTTGTTTCACGATGGAGAGCCTCCATTTCCTGCAGCTTCTTCATGCGTGAAGTTTGTATTTCTGCAATTTGTTTACGCAAATGCTCGACAGCATTATCAAACGTCGGAATGGGCGTGACGATCGGGGGAGTTTTCGGTCGCTCGGTCGTCGCAGTGTCCGAAGTGATACGCTGCGTATTCGTGCCGTGTTTCGTCTGCGCATTTTCATAAGCCWCCCTTTGCTCTCGGTCGCTGTCATCGGAATCGGAATCCGAAGCGCCCTCTGCTTCCGCAATCTGAGTCGCCATTTCCTGCTTTCGTCGCCGCGCTGCCTCGGCTTCAGCTTTGCGTCCCAGGGATATTCGGCCATCTTCGGTGAATTCGTCGAAGTTTTCCATGATGTCCTCATCTTCGCGCACCAATCGACTCTCTTCGACTCCGTACTTGTCCTTTGGCTTCAACACCAGTCGACCGCTCTCGTCTCGCATGACGTTGTCATCCAGATCTTCGTCGTCCAGATTGGGATCGTCGAGATCTAGTGATATGTATTCTTCCGCCTGCTGTTCTTTAGCCAGACGCGCACGGCGAGCTTTCTTTTCGGCGATTTCCCCAGCGGATGGAATGATCGAAGACTGCTGCTGCGGATCGTAGCGTGCCAGTGATGAGCCGAACTTTGAAGATATATCCAAATCTCGAGTGCCGGATGAAACTTCTTCTACGTCTGACCTGCCTACTGAAGTGAATTCCTGTGGTGTGGAGGGAGTGCTGTTTTTCAACGCTTGCAAGTGAGCCGCGCTATAGTTTGGTCGGTCGTCCTCTTCATCTTCAGGTTGGCGTTGCGGGAGCTTCTACGGGTCAGCATGCGGAATAGTCTCGCGTCGGTCTGAGCTTACCTGAGAGGCCAGGAGTGAAGCTCTTTGCTTGGAGGCATTGCGCTGGATCGCTATTCGCGAAAGATTGGAGCGCTTAGGTGTCACAACTGAGGCCTCGGAATCCTCATCCTCGTCGACTCCCGAGGGCCCAATAGAGGATCGCAGAGAGGACGACTTCCGCAGTTTAGAAGTCGGCCGACGAATGGCGGAGTCTAAATGTTACCACGCTGTCAGCCGTTGTTGGCAGCTGAGAACATCTTGTCAGAGCTAGGTTGAGGCGAAAGCGTGACAGTGGAAACCTACCTGGTGTCTGAGGCGCATTGGAAGGGGCTTCATCTTCATCCTGCCCGATCTTACGCGGCACCCGGCGTGCTGAGAATGTTTTCTTCATCGCGCGTCCAATGTTGAGTTGATGGTTGTGGCAGCAATGATCATCCCCGCATAAATAAGWTCGCGTTCTGCTGTGACGTGCGAAAAAGCTTAAACAAATTGGTCATAGCCTCATGGGTAGGAGTACTTCACCTTTGTCGACAATACCAAGGGCACCATACTTTAAATCTCCCAGACTTGATCTAATATGTATGGTGTGATATAATCAGAAGCAGAATCTCGAATGTCATTTAGTGATTGGGAACAGGGAGAAAATGTGGCCCCTATTCCATTCATAATCGAGACGATCTGGGGATATCGCCTTACCTGCTATGCTTTCGCTTTTACCACCCAGCTCCCAACGCCGCCCGCTCAAACGCAGCAAGAATAAGGTACACAATACACATCACACATGTCTCATCCATTGCCCAATCAGCGTCCCATGCCCATCATTCGCATTCTTCCCTCAATCTGGCTCCAGATGTCTTCCACCACCTCCCGATCCCGCCAACGGTTCGAGCCCTTGTCAATCTGCACGCTCAACACCTGTCTTCCCCAGCCCTTGACTGTATCAGGGATCACTTCGCCCTTCCAACCAACATATACACCCAAGGCGTGACTGAAGAGCTCGGCGGGATTTGTCCACTTGTAACCTTTGAACTGCCAAGTTTGTCCAGTTGTGAAGACGGCCACGACGCGCGACCAGTAGTCTGGTCGGAAATGTGACGGATCGTCGACAAGAATGAATCGTGTACTTTGCCCAGGGTTGATAGTGCGGAGCTGACGAGTGATGTGTAATATGGAGGGAGACTCCGCCGACTGCTCGAGAGGAGCGTAAACGCCGTCGTTGAGGAAGGACTTGATGTTAGGCATACGAAGGAGGGAGGAAAAGGACGAGGATAGAAGAATGATGGGCTCTACCCTCCGGTTCGGATTGGAAGGCTTGATAGTTGGCCGTAGTGCTGGGTTCGCATTGAGGGCTGGAGTAGGTGCCTGACCAGGCTGCGGGACGCCAGGTTTGACCTTGCCGAGGAAAAGAGCACTGTACTTGCGCATTCCGCTGAAATCCTGAATCTTAATACCGCGAAGAACGGTGTTATGATCCCCCATCTTGCGCTCTGCAGCGTAGATGTCGCGCAGACGCTGCTCCTCCTCGCGCCGCTTCACGCTGTCCGCAACGTCGGCATCGCGCATTTCCACATCCTGACCTCCCTGTGCCAGCTGTGCGGCATCGTCGGCGTCCCGTCGCGCCTCGGCGTTGTTGTTGGCGCCCTTGATGTACTCGCTCTCGTGCTCACCAACCTCCCCTGTCAGCCAGGTGTTGAGATCCARGCGTTCCAAGAAGACCAGACTGGTAACGACCTCATTCTTACCAGTTTGCTGTAATTCGCCATTGAGTTGAGTAGTTGCGTTGATGTATTCCTGAACGCTGCTGTCCTTGTGTAGCCAGCAGAGGAACACAGAACGCAAATCTAATGCCTTGCCATCGCCGGCAGCAGACTGAAAGCGCGTCGGTTGTGTYAGTGAGATCGCCGTGTGCTGCGGCCCATCTGTGGCCGAGTCGGAGTTGAAAAGCAAAAATGAAGCTTGCGCGAGTGATACATTGGTTTGCGCTTGAGAGGATGGATCCGCGGATGTGGTAGGGATGGGCAACGATTTGTTGGCGATCGTTTGACGGAGAAGTAGCAGCGGATCCGGTGCGCTCTCGTTTGTCGACATGATGTTGGTGATCCGACGATGTTGAAGGTTGAAAGCGTGGAGCTTGAGATCACCTGCGAGCTTGTGAACGCGTGTCAAATGAGGAAGGTGCGGCGAGATCGGCAAATGGTCCGAATGGGGACATTGATCATCTGAACATCACCTCAACATCACCTCGCATCGGCGGCGAATACTCCAGATTGCGAGACGCTGGGACCTTTGAATCATGGTAGTAAGAAGGTGTTCTCCTGAAGGTGTCCGCCGCCGACAACGTGCCCAGCTATCAAGGGTAAAGTCATCCCATCAAGCCCGCAAATGTAATGAATGCTGTTATTCCCTCATCACAAAACGAACCCCATGCCCACAATCCTCACAGTCATGGTAGTAATATTCTATTCACTACCGGTACTATTGTTGAGCAGCTTTTCGCACAAGTCTCACTGGTCCACAAAGGATGGGCGATGAACTTTTGATCTACGACCACTGCTTTGGTCAAAAGCATCTTTCGAATAATCGCTGCCATGCTCTACAAGGAATAAAGCCAGTCCACCGAAGCCCGACGTCCATCGACCGACTTCTTTAACAGCATAATGATTGTAGATGTAATGGATTTACCAAACGTACGCGAGGAGAAGCACCGTGAGCTGACAAGATTATCTGCGCCAATGCGCGTCTGGATTTTGCTAGTTGTGTTGGACTTTTCTCAGTTGAGTAGTGGTGAGCTATCGGCGCAGTGACTCGCAGCGCGGGTGAGCCAGTCAATTAACTTCCTCAAGCAGGCTTTGTACAGCTGGCAAAGCCTAGTTATAGCCGCGGTGCCATCCATGTCGTTGCGATCGTACGTACAGTTCAGCAATACTGTTGCTGCGATGGTTGCATATATTGCGTACTGCTAGCGATGCACGACCAGCGAAACACTAGACAACAGAAGAGCCGCGGAGACAGTAATTGAGCATGGTTTCCCTCTATCTGAGACACCGAAGCTTCGATGGCATTGTCCAGGGATGCGGCGTAGTGTGCTACGCGAATGCAGACAGCCGCAGCACGTTTCCCATGCGGTGCCAGCACGGTTCGTAGCGTCTGTGTCTGTTTGCTCGACACGTCAGTGGGCAAATGCGGAGGTGCAAGCGACGAGTTGCCAGCGATTACTTCCGAAGTCTCCTTCTTCATCACATCAACAGTATCCTCAATCGTTCTGCACGTAAAAGTGGCATTCAAAACCATGTTTGTGTAAGTGTCTTGAAGCCTGTGGCTCTGACTACAACCAGCAATCTGTTGTACGAGTCCGTCCCAACCACGAAGAGGGGTAGAAGGTCAAAAGGTAGTAGAATTACCATCGTGCATTACAGTATCAATGCGTTCAGATTTTGGGCATCAGACCTCGAGTCGTCAGTTTCTGTTGGCTCAAGAGAGGGAGACCCAGAACAATGACCAGAAAACCTAAAATCCGTCAATACAAGTTTAGATGGCAAGCGAACCGAGCCTATAGATTCATCTTGTCTTTTTTTTCTGCACCCACCCTCACCTTGCAGAGACTTTCGATAAAGAAATCAATAACTCCTGGGGGCAAGTTGCTACCAGCAAACCATCTGACCCTCAGGAAGCAGCAGCAGCAGCAGCACCACCGTCATCTCCACCAATACGCGCACGCGCACGCGCACTCACCTACCGAAACCAGCGACCAATCTCCACTCAACCAAGCAGCCGACCTCCCCAAGATGTGTAAGAACATGAAGCTGAAGTTCGCATGTAAGCACCACCGACAGCTCTGCTTGAGCAAATGCCTTGAACACCATACCGAGACCAGCATCAGAATGCCAGGCAAGATCATCTCCCTGTGCAAGGGGCGGAAGGGTAAGCAAGCACTCAAGCTGAGGATGACGACTGCATGCTCTTCATGCGTAACAAGAGACAGAGCCAAGCTCGACGAAGACGCAAAACTGCGCAGCGTTCTTGATGATATCGAGACATGCTTACAATCCTCCGGCAAAGATTCTGGAAATGTTTTCGCACAACTCAAGCATGACGCCAAGGCCTGCCATGAGGCTGCGATTAAAAATCTGTACGTCCAAGCTCGGGAGGATCGGCGCAAGAATGCCAGTCGAAAACCGCATTTTCGCGAACTCGATGGAGGAGAAGCGGAACAAGACCAAGCGGAACGCAACAAAATCCAGCACAATGAATTCCAGCGCAAGCTCGAGGTTATCGCTCAGTGGCACAAGCGAAATGCTCAGACAACAGAGCGTTGTCCAGGTATATGTCAACAGCCCATCGGAGAAGGATGCGTATGTGAGAAGGGCGCATCCGACAAAGTCTCGCCTGCTGTCCGTCCGTGGACGGCTTCGTGGCTCACATTGCCAAAGCAGCCAGAACAATCGATAGCGCCTTGCCCGAAGCTGATCTTGCGCCCCACGCCGCCAAAGCAGCAAAATGGTACCATTGAGAGGAAACGGAAGCGTGCAGGAGACGACTCGACAGAGCCTTTGTGTCCCAGTAGAATTGTGCGCACGCCAAACGAGAACCCCGGTCCACGTCCATTGAAAAGGGGGAAGGAGAAGCYCCCACAGATGGTGCGTGCCGCCTGAGTGCAGTTGGGGGACGTCATTCATATGACGTTCGCGAATGCACAAATGATGCCGCAAGTCGAAAGCGAGCATCAAAGAAGGAAACCGTGTTTAGTATGTCTGCGTGGCGGGCGATAAACCTAAATCATGCGCAGGCTTGATGATCCGAGAATGAGAACCCAGTTCAAACAGCAGTCAAAACCAGCAATAAAGGTCTACAAAGTCCACCAGCATAACTGCAAGTGCCTCTTGATGATGTCGGTCCTTCCAGAGGCCATCTTCGGTAGCTCCAGAGTTAGTATGGATAAGGATTTGTGCGGAAGTCTAATAAGAATGCGGCAGCGCACACAAATACGAGCATATATGCTACTTTCGTCTGCATGTTTAACCATTACATCAGTAAGTACTCAGTGATCTGTCGGACCTACCTTGCAATGGACCTTTTCCTGCCATGCCGCGACGGCGKTTTGGAGTCGACCCAGCTCAATGAATCATTCGCGAGCTCGAACAATCATGCCACGAGCACCGAATCTATTCAGTCGCGGAACGCTGCGTACAGCAGAAAGATAGCGCGTTGGACAGCCATGGCCATGGATCGCAACTGCATGGGCTTCATGCACTTGCCGGTCCGCCCGTACGATCCGAATTCGATTTCGGGCAGCCAACTGCGAGATGCTGTGTTGTCTGACGTCGCCGAAATTGCATATGTAGTTCCGAAAGGGAGAGCAGAAGAGCAGTCAGTTGTGCAACCCAGTTCAGTAGTCGACACGCTGTATGCAAGCAACGAGAGCAACTTCCTTCGACTGACGGGGGATATATCTTTTCCCAAAGCGCAGCTTCCTCATGCTGATAGGCCTGAGACGTGGATTCAAGATGGGTTCATGTTCTTGCGCCTGAATTAAGAGTCGGAAAGCCTGAACTTCCAAGACAAGGCCTGGGAGTCGCTGGGTATGGGAAGGAAGATACCACCGCGTGGATAATACTGTATCTACAGTACAGACATTCGGGTAGCTCTGATGGGACAACATCGTTCTATCAAGGAGATGATGCCACCTGGTATCTAAATGAAGACAGCTGGAGACGTATGGGGTGAGGGCCGAAGTGAATGAAGCGGAGCTCGGGCCGTTAGATCCGAACGTGCGCCCCGACGACGTCGATCGACGCGTAACCCCATGTTCACAGGGCAAACACCACTGCCGGCTCCTTCTACATGCTCATCACCGATGATGCGGTGACCTCCTCCAACCCACATTTCTTCCTCCAGCATGGCGACACGCGACGGCGCCATATCTCCGGTGTCGATTCGAAGAGATTCCGGCAGCGCGCCGAGTTCACCGACTCATGATGGCCTCGACAAGGTCGAGCTTAGCGATCTCGAATCAACACCACCGCAACTGCCGATTGAGCAAGATTTGATGCAACTGGCGAGATTGGGAGAACTGCGAGCCATACAGAAGCTCTTTGACAGCGGGAGGTACGCAGCAAGATCGACAGACGAACAAGGCATTACGCCTTTACATGTATGAACATATGCCACATGCATATGAGTGTTTATAGACTGATAGCGCATAGTGGGCTGCAATCAATGGCCACCATGCTCTGTGTCACTTCTTAATACAATCCGGTGCCGACGTCAATGCGAAAGGCGGTGATGCTCAGGCCACACCTGTTCTATGGGCGAGCAAGCGCTTCAACCTTCAAGTCGTATCGTTGCTGCTGTCAAGTGGCGCCGACCCGTTGATTCGGGACGATCAAGGCTACAACCTGCTTCACTCGGCCACCTTGGACGGCAATGTCTATCAACTTATCCTCCTCCTCCATCAATCAGACTTACCCGTCGATGTTCAGGACGCACAAGGTCACACATCACTGATGTGGGCTGCCTACAAGGGGTTTCCACCTTGTATAGACATTCTGCTTCGCTTTGGAGCGGACGTGCACGCTGTAGACGACACGGGTTTCACGGCACTCCACTGGGCGTTGGTCAAGGGTAACTATCTCTGCATCCAGAAGTTGGTCGAGCACGGCAGCGATAGATTCGCGCGCAGCAAGCCAGTCGAGGGACAAACAGAAGGAGACACGCCCAGCATGACAGCTGCAAAGATGAAGAGCGAGCGTCAGTGGCACAAAGCACTAATCGACTCGGGTTACGACGAATCCGGCAGTCCACTCAGCTTCCCGATTCCCATGGTCCGCGACAGGAGGAAGTTCTTTAAGCGATTCTTTTTCTTTTGGCCATTCATCCTGGGCGGTCTTCAGCTACAGATGCTGGCGTATATGAAGATCTGGCTCTCGTTACCAGGTGTGCTGATTGTTGGTTACGGCGCACAATTCACCGTCCAGAAGCTTTTCCGATGGGCACCAAGCGATATGAACACCATGCACAAAACACCATTTCTCGCGGGCATATTTGCGGCGACTCTTTTCTGGGTCGGGGTTGAATACGTTTCGGCCATTCTTCCCAGTATGACTTCCCCTACCACATCAACGTGGCAGTCTGCTAATAGTATTTGCAGACACCCTATTCTCTCACATCTTCCTCAACGCAGCCTTTGCGGTCTGCTATGGATTATGTGCTTACTTTTACCTCATGACGATGACTGCAGACCCTGGCTTCATACCCAAAGGAGCCAGCAGAGGACAGACGAAGAAAACGATTGACGAGTTGGTGGAACATAATGCATTTAATGAGGCGCATTTCTGTACAGCATGCTWGATTCGAAAGGCATTGCGGAGCAAGCATTGCAGGCGTTGCGGGCGGTGTGTGGCGAGAGAAGATCAGTGAGTATTCCATATCATGCCCGAGACAGCTTGAAGCTAACTTAATCGCAGTCATTGTCCGTGGGTGGACAACTGCGTTGGTGTGAACAACCACAAGCATTTCATCCTTTACGTGGTGTTTATGATTATTGGTATCGCTTTCATGGTGCGACTCACCATCGTCTGTGAGTAATGAATGTTCGATCGACTGCATGATAGACGACTGACACAGACAGACCTCGAGAGTTTACCCAGACCCAAACCAGAAGATCTGCAATGCACATTCCTCAGAGATGACCTATGTGCGGAATTCTCAAAGGATCCTCTCACCCTCGTGACCAACGCCTGGGGCGCTCTTCAACTTACCTGGACCGTCATGCTGCTCTTCGTGCACCTCTTCCAAGTCGGCAAGAACCTGACCACCTTCGAAAGCATGCGGAATACCCATCAGGTCAACCCAGTGCTATCGGCAATGACGACTGGTACAATGTCCATGGAGTCTGCCCAAGTCACCGGAACCGGCGCCGAAACACTCGACGGACATGGTCACAAGCACGCACAACGCAAAAAGGAAGGCTGTCTAGCTCGCTGGTCAAAACTCATCGGATTGGACACTTTCTTCGCCATCGCTTTTCAAGGCTACAAAGGTAGCAAGACTGTGAAGCAGAAACCTACTAAGAAAAACAATCCCTTTACGAGAGGTTTGTTCCGGAATTGTCAGGACTTCTGGATGGATGGTCCGATCTTTGGGAGGAAGGAGAGTAATCGGGGTCTGATTGGTGGTGAATTGGTGGACTATGCGAGCATGTATGAGGTTCCGAAGGGAGGAATGCGGTATCGAGATGGTGGCTACGAGGCAGTACCTGGCGAGACAGATGCTGTTGAGGATGGGGAGGTGTGAAACCTGTACAGCGGACTTGTATAGTTGACATGAGCGTAACCTATGACCTACTACGATACCCATTTTCCGCCTATCGAGCTAGTTCAAGGCCGCGTCGTATATTTCTCTACAGGGCCGAGATGCCGACCAAAGGCGCCATATGGCTTGAATCAAGGCAGTCAATTTGCTTCGGCTGATTTATATTTGCAACAGGGGGGATTGCAAGAGTGCTACCTGAAAGCCGGAACCATAGTCAAGAAGCTGTGAAAGTCAAGAGCAACGGTTTGCGAGGGTGAAAAGGTGCTTTGCAGAGTAATACATGGACGCTATGCGTATCTGGCGCCACCGAGCTGGAGAAAGCAGCGGATTCAGAATCAACCCCGGAGGTTGAAGAGGTTCACCTTTCACTACCCACCGCACATCGTCTTCGAACAGGATACCGTACCGCGTGACCGCCTCCTTGTGCTGGGAACCCAGAGCAGTGAAATCTGCGAAATATCCTTCCATGTCAATGGTGTGGTGATGATGGCGGCTACACCATCCATCCTCCACAAGCATCAGGGGCCGCTTCATGATCAGATGTGATCTGTACTCCAACATTGAACACTCACCACAAATGTTCCCACTTTCTCCAAGCACTTGACATTCCCTCAACTCGACTCCACTCACCAGATATTGAAGACAGTCCATGAGCTCAATCCTCGCCAAAATGGACGCCAGTCTTCATTATTTCAATCAATCTTCTAGCAGTAAGATTGTTCACCACATCGCGTAGTTCCGAGTCGGTTATATCTCGAGCAGAAAAAGCCAGCCGCCCGTCCACAAGGGAAACCTGCGATTTCGAGAGACATTTAGCATCGAATAGCTTTTTCTCCAGTTCTTCTCGCAGCCTTTGCATTTGTTCCGCAACATCGTCCCCAGAACGTAACGAACCGTTCTGCTCCTGGAATTCTTCCACAATCTTCGCAACCTTCCCCGCCTTGGCGTCGAATGCAAGCTGCTTTTCCTCTGCGGATTCTTGGACCTTAGACTTAGCAAAGGTTATGCCACCAAAGTCTACGATTCCAAATTGCTTCAGTCTTCCAGCTGGATAAAGGACTGCAGGCTTCAAGCGTTCGGCGATCGAGCCGCTGGTGACTTCGAGACTACTTCCGCAAAGGTCATCGCTCCCAGTCTCCAGGACTCTCTCGATCAGTTGAGCAGCCTTGCTCAAAAGTAGCTCACACCGCTGCGATGGCCGACGCTGGTGGATAGACTGTTCGTGTTGCGCTGCCTGCCACAGGGTGAACGCCACGAGAGCCGTGGACGAGTGTAGCATAGATACATCGACGGTTGATTTGATAATAGCCAATTTTTGGAAGTCTTTCAGGAGTGTTGTACAGATCTTGGATAGACCCAGGTAGTCGGTATTGATGTCTTGCTCTGAAACCAGAATAGCTTGTTGAAGGACTGTGAGCATCTGAGCGTCGGTAAGGCTCTTCGAACGCTGCCATTCTTCGGCAATGATCGGATCTCGTATGGGCTCACCCGACTTCAACAATCGCCTGACAACATCGTAATGCAACTCGATCATCTTCGGAGCCTGTCCCAATCTCTCTTTCCTCTTTGCAATATGCTCCGTAGCAGCAAGGAAATGACTAGTGCTCACCGGATTGATTGCCAGGCTGATTGGAGAGATGTCGGGATGGTCTGCTGGAGTCGCTCGACAGGCCTTTTCTAGAGGAATTCCCAGTGACATGACGAACTGCCGGGCTCGAGATAGTGCGGGCATGTGACTGTTGGGATTGATTTCACCACAGAATGTTTTCCTAGTTCTTTCTATTCGCTTCACTTTCATTTGGTTGTTAATGATGAATTCCATCAAAGGCCAGTCGCTTGTGAGTAAGCCATGCTCCCTTGAAGCCTTGTAGAGATGAGCAAGAGTGAGTAGAAAGGTGTTGGAACTGAAACAAGAAAGCCCGAAAAGATGTGAGCGCTCAGACATCTTTACAGCATGCGTACCACAGAGGATTGGCAAGGCACCTAGAAGCCGTTTCGAGAGCTGAAGACCAGGCTGGTCGATAGAGCAGTTGACCCGGAACTCCAAGTGATCCGAGGTTTTTCGAGTGCAGCCTAGCATCCCTTCGATTTCTCCGTGTCCGATACCGATACCTTCGAGATAGCCGCGGTAGTCAGCGGCTGCATCATGGATTCGATCAAGAACGCGATTGGATTCCAACAGTCCTTGCTCCATGTCGCCATCTAGGGTATCGTAGATGCCGATGTATGCAGAAGTCATCCCCGCCAGCCCGATCGGCATGGMACCATCACCTGGTGAGGTCATGTATTGGATCAGGCGCAGCGTGAACTCATCCAAGTTATGGGCAGCAAGATCCAGCGAGGAGCATATGTCCGCGATCGGTTGGACGAGCTCTTTAGCAACGCCAATCAGCAATTTGTTGAAAGGGGGGCCAGAGTGTCGCACCCTCGGAGAGCCCACTCGTTGCCTCTCTGCATCTGTGGTCAGCAGCCAAGGCGAAATATCTTTGACATCGCGAAGAGCAGTCCAAGCTTTCATGCAAAGCAAGTCGTTGTGGATGCCTGATTTCGTCAAGTTCACGCCGTCGTCATTCCTATTGCAGATATGATACTGCGCGATCCGGGCCTTGGTAAGGTACCCGCTCATGCCAGAAAACTCGAGTATGTCCTCAAAAGACCTGAGATCCGCATGTGCCTGGCTGAATTCCTCGGCGGCGTTCAAGTAGAAGTCGAACGCGGTGTTTGTGAGGATACAAGTAGTCATGAAGCTGAGGTCACCATTCTTGTACTCCGCCCATATCTGGCAGATTTGCTTATGGAGGGCGGCAAAGTCTTGGAAAAGACAGAAAATGGCAAACGACTTTTCTTCGTTGCCATCGWCAAGATTGTATTCAGATGATTCATGTTCGGCCTCCTTGCTGATGTTGGCCTTCGACCGCAGATTGACCTCGGACGACTCCTCGCCCTCACCTTCTGCCGGGTCTTCGACATGCAGATATTCAAAGGAGTTTTTCATCTTCTCCAGATTGGTGTCGAGTTTAGTGTTAGAGTGCTTTGACTTGGGATGGCTTACCTGATAGGCGGCCATAAGGATGTTGTGTACTTGCTGCATTCGCGAGAGAAAGTACTTGTGAGTGCGATTCGATATCAAGACCGCCGGATCAACATTGTTATTTCGTGCCAGCTTATGATACCAGTTCAGACATTCCTGGCGCCCGGCAATGATGTCCTTCAGGATATAGATGATCTCCAGCGGTATGTCAATGTTGGCCGCAGCAATCGAATGCGCCCAGGGCACAAGCTCATGAGTGGAAATTTTCGTATTTGAGGCCTCGGGAGTCTCAGATGAAGATGAAGAGCCACGAGAAGACCGCAGACGCGCGTGTATCGTCAGCCAACGGACGAGTTTTCCATTGGCCGTCTTGTAGCGCAAGTACGTCGTCCTCGGATCTGTCGACATGCTGCAGCTTCCCGTTCGTGCTATGGAATGGAATGGGTGACGGCTGCTGTGCTGTGGCAGTAGAGGAGTGAGGAGTAAGGTAAGAAGAGTGATGTCATTGAGATTTGCAGAAAAGCAGCAAACACAAATTTGTCGAGCATGCATATTGGAAAAGAGACCCTGTACCTACTCTTACACTGAGGGTTTGCATGAGGTCTGTCGTCGTACCTTGTGTAACTCCAGGTGACTTCGTGCCCGTAAGGTTCAAAATGCTGATCTCCAGCAGAAATCAAAGCCAGATGCTCCAGCGGACATCGTCCGACATCTACCGAATCTTGTACAGACAAGGCTTTAAAGTCTTGGCCTCGTCCTCTGTAGCAACCTCCTCCTCTTCCACCTCGTCCAAAAACTTTTTCTTCTTGAACTTCTCCACCTTCTGCTCCCGTTTCTCCCCCTCCTCAGGCACACCCTTGCCTTTCGTTGGCGTTACAGCCTTAACAAACTCCATCTTGACGAACATCTTGTTGCTCAAATCAATGCTCGCCTCTCCTCTCTTGAGCCCGATCCCACTCTCTGTAGGCGCGTGCTTTGGTCCGTAGACTTCACTCTTTAACAGGAAGCCACGCCTCCGTAGAACTTCCACAAACGCGCCAACATCCGTCTCCTCGATCTTCGTGCTCTCCGCCCCATCGACTTCCACCGCTAAAGCTGCCTGCTCATCGCCTTCTTGCTCCTCTGCCGCCTTCTTCGCCTTCACTTTGCTCAGAGCTGCAGCCTTTCTCTTGCCTCCTACGGAGTGCTCCACGACCTTACTACCCTTACCGACTCGCCCAAAGCGGGATTTGATCTCCGCGACCCACAGCTCTCCTTTCCAATGCAGTATGCGTTCTGCCTCTTCGATGAATGAAATCCAGTTGGTACCCATGAGTGCGAGGCAGAAGATAGCAATGTCCACGCTCCCGTCTTCCAGAGGGAGCTTGGAGATATCGGCCTTGGTAACAAGCGGATGTGGCGAGTGTAGATCGTAAGACAGGATTTTGAGGTTCAGTGAGTGAGATTCGCCCGAGTCAACAAACGTTTGCGCGAGACGTGCGTCTCCACACCCAAGATCGGCAATGATGCTGACGCCCTGAGTTCGGGGCAGGGCAAGAGACTTCAGATCGTTGGCGTCCTCGACTGCAGGTTTCTTAGACTTTGGTGCAAACTTGCCCTTCATGGGCTTCTTCTGGTGCGGAAGACGGACAGAACCACGGGATCGGATCGTCTCAATGAAAGTGTCTACAGGGTTAGAGGGCCAAGTGGTGACCTGCTGGCGGAAACCAGAGTGATAGTCTTCGAACATCTGTGGATCGCGAGCGAAGAGCTGTAGGGCTTTGAGAGAGGGCTCGGTGTACAGTGTTTGATTCAGGTGGCGGAAGCGGGCGGATATGAGCTTTTGGCGCATTGCAGCTTGCATGGGCGTCAGAGTGCTGACGGGAGCGGTGACTACAGGTGCTGCTTYGGGTGCGGCATCAGGCCCAGTAGCAGGTGTACTGGTAGGTCTGATGTCGCCAGATTTTCGACGCTTGTTGTCTTTGTTCTTCTTGTCGATTGTTGAAAGTGCAGCCTGACTCTCGCGCTCGATGCGTTCAGCACCCGTTTCCACTGGCGCACTCTCCGTCACTTCCTCGGCCACCTCTGCGCCTTCTATCGGCATAACCTCCTCTGTTCGCTTCTTCCTCTCACCCAAAGGAACATCATTGACGTTGACCGGCTTCTTCGCAGCCTTCTTCGCGGCCTTTGCAGCCTTCTTTTCCTTCTTCGTCTTGGGCCGATTCGTCTCGTCACCCTCTACTTTTGCCTTCTTCGCTTTTTTCGGCTTCTCAGGTTCGCCATTATCGATGTGCTTTGTCCAGAGTTTCCCCACGTCCGGCTCATTGCCTGCGGGTCCATCGCCGCGCTTGCGCTTTTTGCCAGCTTCAGGTTTAGTTATGGTTCCGTCTTTCGCCTTCTGCGGTAGCGGTCCCGTCTTGAAAGGCTCCGTCTGAGGTTTGAGTGCATTTGGATTCACGGACCATCCTTTCACAGCGAACATTTTGCCGGAGAGTGAGTTGTGGTTGTAGTATAGAAATTGTGAGCTCGCCAGACAAATTTCAGGTGAGGTCCGGCAGATCGGGGAAGGATTTGCCGAAACCCGACTAAACTTGAACCATACCATAGGTAGGTATGTCTCTCCCTCACAACAACAACATCACCTCTAAGCATTTGTGGCCGATTAGTGTCTTCACACATCGGCGCAATACGCATGACTTCGAGGACTCAGGTGCAGCTTAGCAAGCTTATCCCTTAGGCCAGTCGAGAGCATCGTGCGAAGCGTAGTGGCTCGCTCTCAGTCCTGTACAACTGCCAGGTTGCTCAGTCACCACAAATCTCATCTCTTTACTCACTATCCAGTAGCTATCAAAGAGGGCTGAAGAGCTGGAAGTGCGACCTCAAACTCCACTTCGTCACCTGTCAAAGCGGCAAGTGTTGTACTCGAACGATATGTCCCTGACGTTCTCCACTCACCGACGAGCACAAGCGGAATCCGCATTCACTTCGTTTACCTTTGACTTTCAATCTTCAAAATCAATACACCAATCAACATTTCAATGACAACATCGGCGACGATCGCACATTCTACTCTTGTACATGAGGCACAACCAGAACGTGTTAGAATGTGGGCCGAGCACATTGCTGGAGAGAACTGGCCATGTTCGAGTATTCACACTGCGTGGCCACGACAAAACCCGTCTCCAACTTTCAGATGCTAAAGACTTGACGGTTGAATTGATGGCAGATGATGCACGACAGGAACTTAAGGCAAAGATTAGATTACAGGTCGAAGGCATTGAGTACATCCGACAACTTCTGAGGCTGAATGCCGAGGCCATCTTTATGGTGCTATGGAGTAACTGGGAGCTCTGGGCGAAGTGGGACCGACCGCTAGAATTGGCAGAGGTTTAGGGCAGACGTGCCGACATATTGTGGCGGAAAAGTTTGGGTGGTGAACAGTATTGCCAGCAGTCTGGCAGAGGCTTGCCTCTGCGTTGTCTAAGTTCCAGAGCTAGAATCAAACGATTCAGTTGCTGTGGACGAACATACCTCAACTCAAGACTCTTGTCGTGCTACAGCACCTGCTTGCTTGGAAGCAGTTCTTGATGATAGTAGGCCCACTTTCGCTGCAATGCTGCAACGGTTGCTTCGCGGCCAACGCACGATTGTTGATTGGTGTCGCGCTGACTTGGGTCTTCGTGATAATACATTTTTCATCTTTACATGCTATACAACCATCAATGCGCTCTTCATGCTCGAGCCTCTGTACTCATCTTCGGAACATCTGCAGGTGGCATCGCTTGTTCGCTTCCCTCAGGAGCGCTGAGCTGCTCATCGACCTATCTTCTGTCAGTCCATGTCTCACACAATCAGCTCTCAGCGCACTTACCACAAGATCATCCTCCTTGCGCAGGTAGGCAATCTCGCCATTGTCCACATCAGCATACATGTTGATCTCTTCATCCAACATTGCCTCGCTTCGCGCACTGTCCCACGTATACCATCGCTCCGTCAGGGTGTGCTTGATTGCCTTCATCGTGTGCTTGATCTGTACATATCGTTAAAGGCCTTCCACAAATCCATGCAGCCCAGCTGTACTCACCACCTTCATCCGCTCCCCACTCTCGTAATCACCGTACATGGGCCCCAGTCTCTTCCGTTCCACCTCATACGTGAACAGCCGATTCCTCTCCTTGATGCACACCCACCACAACCGATGCAAATCATCCCAATCCTTCGCTCTCAGCTCCTGCACCGTCCATGCTCGTCCATGAGCATGCATTTCCGCAGGTGTAGCCATCAGCGTCTTGTTGGCCGGGAAAAACTCCCAAAGTCCATGGTCTGGGTCCGTCTCGATTTGTGTTCTGCGAGCCGGATCCAGGACAGGCTTTGGGAGAGGTACGTTTTTGACAGAGTTGGCTTTCCACATTGTCTTATTCAGACCGGACCTGTACAGTGCGGATACTCCGCGCCTGGGATTGCCATCTTTACGCGGAGGCTTCTGCTGGCTGCTTGTGGTAGAGAAAGGTGCTGATATGGCGGGGATTAAGAAGGATGGCGGAAATGTTGCTGCACGGGATATTGGTGCGCCGAAGACGCCACTGAGGACGGTCTTGCACGTACAGTGCATTGCTGGGGGCGGCATGATGGATCTGGTGAGAGATCAATGTTCAAGGGTGGTGGAGGTGTACCGTAGTGCGATCTCCTCGACTGTTTTGCGGCGAAAGCGCGGGAGATGAGTAAGCATATTTGATTAGACTTTCACTCACTTGCTTCAATTGCTATGCTCGGTAGACTCTGAAATTCACATGACATGTGCAAGGAGGAGTTGGGCTCTCATGGAGTTGACTAGTATCTGGCCTGATTTGATGCCTGATCGCGAGAGCAGCAGCCTTGCCCTCAGCAGGCAAAACTAGCCAACTCCTCGAGAAGCCAACTCCCCCTGGAACACGTTACAGCAAATTGGCATTGAATGACACAACACGAAAGGAACATCATCGCTCTCATCTAGCGTGGATTGCTCCATCGACTCTTGGGGTATATAAGGTACATCACGCTCGCTTTTCTCCCCTCCAGAATATGGCACAATACGATATCTCCACATGGCATGATATTTACAAGGTGCAAGGCTGCACTCCTACCTTCTTCATCGTCGTTGTCTCCGACCACCACGCGGATCGAGCTCATCTGCGCTTCCATCAACGTCGCTAGGCGGATGTTGCGAAAGGCTGCTTTCACCATCGGACTCCCTCCTCTCAAAACTGACTGCTCTCATAGGTGCTGAAAAGCTCGTAGCAGGAGCATTGTAGCGCCTTTCTCGGCCCAAGCTCACCATAGTCGGCGCGAAATAATCGTGGCTGGAGTATGGCTGTGAGTAGCCAGCCGCTGGAGGATTTGTATGGACCTCGTTAGCCAGTGTTGGCGTGATTGAACCAACATATTCCGGTGGCACATATCCTCGATCAATCCTAGGTGATTGGGTCCTGCTCTCCAACGCCGTATCATGGCTGATGGCAGATAGTGGGCTCTTGTACGCTTCCTCCGGCGAGCTAATGGAAGAGCTGACGCGTTTGCGGTCATAGTCAACCGCCACGACAGGAGTTGGCTTTGATTGCAGCTCAAAGTTCGTCGCCTGGTGGCCGCGTTGATATCTCAACAGCTCCTGCTTTGAGTTGCTGCGCATCAGATTCTTTTGCCGTGCATCCAGGCTGACGAATTCTTGCTGTACCATATTTTTCCTTCTCATGAAATTCCACCAGGCAGGGAAAATGGACGGCCGAGTCAGGAATATGAATGCCTGCAATCCGGTCAAAGAGAGCAACAGTAGAACTGCGACCACTGTTGGCTCGTTCACCAGCCAGCCGTCGACTAAATACAAACACTGGTCCCTGTCGTTCGGATTTGAGGCCAAACAAACGAGCCAAGGCTCCAATCTTTTCAGATTCGCCAGGATCGCGTTTTGTAGTCCGTCCAGCTGTACGAAGACGATCGAGAAGAAGATCACGTCCACCAGAATTATGGTGACAATGGCAATACCCCTCCATTGTAGCCAGAGGACCTTCTTCAGCCGCTGATAGACTGCGCGTGCAGTCTGTGTGCGGACACTGTTGTTGTACGAAGGCAGATTGGAGCTCCCGTGCCCACTTGCTTGGGTCGATGATTCATCCGACCAGAGATTCTTCATGTACACTTGGATGCAGTATCCAAACGTGATGCATTGCAGTATACCAGCAGCTCCAGCAAACGCCAGGAGAGGTCCCCAGAAGTCACCCATGCTGTTGTCGTGGTTGACATGGCATGCCGATCCGAACCGGAATGACACGCCTGTAATTGTCAYGGTAATGCAGAAGAGAACCGCGGGGATTCCCCATCCGAAAAGTTGGGACGCGTAGAAGAATTTGCGTCCAGGTGCAATGTCCCAGCAGATTTGTAGATTCATCGACAGCGCACGTATGAAGATCCACATGACTGCTGAGAGTCCTCCCGCGATGATGCAAGCGCCACTAACAGCACACTCTGTCGAAGAGTACATATCATTCGGGGTAATCTCGTTGAAGCATTGGTCGGGCGACGCTGCGAGGGGAACAGTGAATCCGATTGCTATTAGCATTATTGCGAAGATCAGACAGATGCCTACAGCAGGAGAATGATCGTTAGCGTGCTCTGATTTTGTTACGCTTTCTCAAACGTCCCAAGTGCGGTGCCAGACTTACTCAGGTAGTGACTTCGGGTCTGCTGTGCGGGCAGTACGGTATAAGACAGCAACATGAACACAAGTAGAACTAGCCCGATGACATTCAGCCATTCAGCTGCTCGGCCATATGTCTGAAAGTCCGAAGAGTACGCCCACTCTGTTGCTGGACAGGGTAAACAACATGTTGGTGTCCCCGGTAATAGGTCTATGGGTGCGCAAAATCGTCCAGAGGTGACTACTCTTAATGTTAGTAACGATCCGGCAAGAGGATAGTAAGTGCCACCTACAGCCGCCTTCACTGGGGAACAGCGAATGGTCCAGAAACGGTGCAATACATCCGCCTAGATAAGGCGACGTTGTATTTGCCATGCTGGCTTATGAATGCGCGTCACGTTCTCCCTTATGAATGCGCGTCGAGTTCTCCAATGCGCTACACCTTCCTTCAGCGTCGAGGCTGACGCTCCTTCCAATGTCGACAATATCGTATGCTTTTCCTGGTGCTTGTTGTAGATTGATCGATGCTCTWGCCCGGTGTAGCCCTGTCCGAGTGGTAGTCGCAACTCTTACGCAAGCCGGAGGTGGCGACAGTAATCGTGTTTGTGCAACCCTCTTGCCGTGAGACGGAGCGTAAGGGTCCAAGATATGTGGGAGCATGAGAAGAAGGGCGAACTCGTATATGCAGAAAACACAAATGCAGCAGAACAGCTAGGAAACAGAAGCGCACGCGAGCGCACACACACAGCTCGCCGATTGACGATGGACAGCTGAACGGTGCAACCGGTAGGAAGAAGGGATGTGGACAATAGAAGAAGATAGGTAGGAAGATCAATCGAATAGCAAGCACATGCTACAGCCTCTGATCGAGACGGCGCAACCTACCATAACGCTCAGACGGGCCTGGACTGCATGCGTTCTAGCAAGCCCGGTGAGGCGTCAGCGGGAAGCACGCTCACTCGTGCAGCGCGAGAAAGCATCTCCGCCCTGAGCAAGGCTACGAGTGCGAGTTCGAAGCTCCACTCGACTGTCTCTTACCGGGGTGCAGGTGGCATGCTGCGTCTCTGGAAGTGTGATGGCCATGACCGGGGGTGCTCCTGGCGCTACGCACCCGCTAACCGGAGCTAATGTATCCCTGCATGCAGCTCGGAGTGGGTTTGGGATCTTTTCACTGGCTTTCGCGGGACTGACCGACAGCACCTACGTGGGAAGATGTGCACCAACATCGAGGGTTGATCTGAGGATTGCATCCTATACGCACATGAATGTGCTGCGCATACCAATGGGCTAATTCTCTGACTCTCGCCCCAAAGCGTTTCCCTAGTGGGGCAAAGCACCCAACGAAGGATCATACCCATGGAAAGGCGTGTCATCTCTGTGCGGCAAAGCATTCGCCTATGCAGGTGCTTGCAGCCCTGGGCTGCAAAATCACTTACGCAATTCTTGTCCGATCCGTTACACGACCTTAGAAGATCGGAAACTGGTTACACGAGGCCCTGTTGTKCCTGCCCGAACGTCTTTGTCTGCGTCACGAATAGACACGGCGCCGTGCGCAGTCCGGCGATGTTGATGATGCCGTTCAATGCATTCCTCGAGTGTGCTTTGGGGCTACTGGAAGACCGCAGTGTGTGGCGTAAAGGATAGACGCCAGCACCCTGTCTAGCGCCATACCCACGCGACCAAAATGTGACCGAGGCGACCAATCTCTGTTCTTGCAAGCGGTATACGCACTCGATTGGTACGAATCTCGACCGGCGTCTCGAAGGAGTTGTCTTACTTCCTCTTCTGTCCATCTTGGTGTGGTTGTGGAWCGCATTGAAATATTCTCACTCCTTGATGACAGAGGAGCGAAACTCGTGAGGGATCCGCCTCAAACTCCCGACCTTGGGAGTTAATTCGCAGAAGAGTCCAATATTTTGCCTTCTATATTTGGAGTAGAAGTTGTGAGGTTGCCCGGTTGTAGCCAAAAGTCTTCGATTGTCAAAGTATGATCGGCATGGTGGTGTAGCATTGACGGGGCCGTCCCATGTTGCAGCGGCCCCACAACCTTCAGCAGCCACACAGCGGCCATATCACATTTGTGATTCGGACGACCAACGTTGTCAGGTCGGGGAAACATCCGCCATCAGCCCTATATGCTCATCGCTACGCAGCAGTTCTGTTGTAGCTTCGTTGAGGCGGATGTCATTGAGTCGATCACTTAACCTTTAAATCCCTTGAAACCACCTGGCTGTTCGCCATGTTGATACAAATTACATGATTTCTTGCGAATCGGCCTCGATGACATGCTCAACGATCTGCGGGCGATGAACAAAGTACATTCGACGTGCGATAGACGCTGTACAGATCTCACTGTTTTGGCACTCTTGTGATTGGTCTTGACACATCATCCGTGTGCGAATCGGAATTCGATGGTGGTGCAAGCGAGTGGAAGATTTTCATCGCCTGGACGTTCTTGCCTTCTTGAACGGGCACCGATCTAGTGCTGACAGAGTGAAAATATGTGGCCATTGACAAGGTCTGTCGAGGGGAGGGCTATAGCATCGCGTTTGGACGCCAGTGCTAGTCTATCAGGGCTTGATGCTTCTGAAAGTTGCAAGCATCAGTCGAGATAAAAACTGTCATTCACCTACCCCATCAAGACTCTTCCGAGCAAGKTGTGGACGGACCCCTGCTTGCGCTTCTCGATCGAACGGAGGTACAGTAGCTCGCGGGGATCCCTGGACTTCACTTCTGCCGTTGTGGACAGCCGGTACCTTTTTGTCGGAAGAACCACTAAATTCTGTCTCCGCTTCCATAGCACCTTGGTGGTTGGTCGGGGTGCTTCTCAGGATATGCCAGCCTGCGAGTCATGCAGGCTCATGAAACATCAACGTTACCTGGGATGGCCCTGGAGGAGATTCTCAACGTATTTCGTTCATTCATCGGGTATCATCATGAGTTCGTCAACATTACTTGGAAATGTCCAACGCAATATGCAGCACAAAGAGCGTAAGTAGCAGCTATTGCAAGGTTTCAATTAGCTTTTCACTCCCATTATCCTGAAGAAAGAACGGTCTTACCAAACCCACGAATCCCATTATTATCAACATTTCAAAGCCACATGCATACACCTTTCCCCTCGCCATAGCCGACTGCTGTCTCCAGAAGCGAATACCACCCAGCAGGACCGTTCCCAATGCCGCACATTGAAGGATGGCGGACAAGGGCTTTCCAAGTGCGAAATAGCCGAAGGTTGGATCTGGAGTCGCGGAGTGCTGTAGGCGGTAGAGTTGGGCTACAAGCACTCCTAACATGGATAAGGCGACGGATGTCCGGAGATAGCCTAGAAAGGTGCGCTCGTTTGCTGTGGAATTCGCGTAAGCTTGTTGTGAAACGACAACGCGACTCGCTTCGTGGTCGCTTGCGTGTGAAAATGCCGGTGACCTCGGCTAGTTGGGGAACYGAAAGAAAGACAAGATGAAGCAAAAGTCGACCGTCTTCGATGCCCGAAGGATTGCTCTAAACAGATTCACTCACCATAGTGATCACGACAATCAACAGAAGGGACGGAGAGACGAACATTCTCTCGCCACCACTTTCGGAGTGGAGACCTGGTCTTGTTGTCTGATCTTGAGCTCCTCGTTGATGGAAGAGCATTGTCGCGCATCTCAGTCACTTCGTGATCGTCGTCGGAACCATGGCCGTTTGCAAGATGCGCAGGTTCCGGTTCGGGTATGGCAGTACTGTCACCCGAAGGTTGTGAAGGTCTTCTGCGTTGCATCGCGCAGTTTGCAAATCCAATCAATGAACAGAAAATTCATCACCGTGCAGTGTAGAAAGACCGAGAGCTGCCCGTTGTGGAACATGTCGTCTGGCTACGCCCAAAATCGACCAAGGGCTTGCGGCACAGCAAGGCCCGCAGTTGGCCGAACATACGGGATTCTTGCTGGATAGAACCAAGGAGAAGGAACCAACAGAAACTTGCCATTCATCATTATCGATTACCTGTGTCAACGAGGGTTCGGGGCGCCGTCCGAACGACGCCACACCATTGACAATGTTCAGTCTTGCGACAGGAGGTTGTGCGAAAGGATAATAAGCAGAGGTCTCCGGAAAGAGAGATATATGTAGCAGGTCGAGGATGGCGTGATACCTATTCTTATGATGCGTGCCACAACTTTCTAGCATGAATAAGGTACTTTATGTCAGGATGTTTCGGGAATCGGCGCGACTCTGCGCAACTTTCTGACGGTACGGTACGGCATACGGCGCGTTTTTAAGAACAACTCTGCAATAATCCTTTTAGGCGATAGTGCGACGCTAGCATTATAGGGTATTAGAACCTCGGTAATTAAAGGTGTATTCCGTACAATAAGTAATAAGTAGCGTAATTTAATATGCGCGTGCAATGTCCTCGCTTTCCTCCTTTATTTAAGTCTACGATACCTAAGTAATAATAGTAAGGATAAAGTAAAAGTATAATAGCATTACGCGGGCAGCTATATAACTCTTTATATAGGTAAGTAAGATCTCTAAAAGAGTAGTAGGATAAAGACCTACTACTCTTTTAGCGACTCTTATTAATACCTAAATACTAATATTAATACCTACTACTCCTACTACTATACTATCCCTTTACTACTTATCTATATTCTCCTCCCTCCTCTATACTACCCGTATAAAAGCCTAAAAAGGCGAAGAAGCCTAAGTTACTATACCTATAGCTAGGTTATATCGATACTACGAAATACTAGAGGGAAGGAACTTTCCCTAAGGATCCGGATAATAATAGCGAATACGGATATTTTAAGTAGAACTTTATAAAAGTATAAGCTAGGAATTTAATACTTTAAAAGTAGCGCTAACCCGTATAATAGCTTAAGAAAATAGGATTCTTCCTTAACCGCGAGTAAAGGGAAATAATAGCTAAGCCTACTACTAAGTACGTTAAAATCTATAATAGCTTTACTAATAGGATCGATAATATCCGAGACCGTCCGAACTACGTCGACGCCTTTCTAGTTATAAGCCGGTCTATATAATCCTATTAGAGAATTATTAAAGTATAATAGCTAATAATATCGTAGTAGAATAATATTAACTAAGGAGGAGTATTACGAAGATTATAAGAAGCGGAACGACTACGATAGTAATATAATTAAAGGCCTAGGGCTATTTCTAGTATATTTCCTACCCGTATAAAGGTGTTCGACGCTAACGAGAATAGCGCTATATAATCTAGCGTAGATATTTAAACTTAGCCTATAGTAACTATATCTAGCGGGGAACTAAGAGTACTTACTAGTATAGCGATAGAATAGCTAGCGAGAGAGCCTATTAGGAGAGGCTAAAGGCGTATAATAGCAGACTAGAGAACATACGCCGGCGACCTAAGCGCGGAATAATTATAAGTATAGCTACGGATAATTAGTTAAAGGGTCTACGTTTAGGAAAGGATAAGTAGTCTTATAGGTCTCGGAGTAAGTCTTAAAGTCGGAAGGGATAAGGTATAAAGAATTAGTGCTTTTCTTTCTTTTATATAATCTCGATTTTAGCTATTATAAGTTCGTAATAGGAGCTTAGTATAATATTATAGTAATATTATAGTTCCTTCCTAAATAGGAAAGTTTCTACTCTTTTTATTAAATTATATATTCTATTATCTACTCTACTCGCGGACTATTATACTAGCTACTTTTGTAGTAGGATAAATACCTACTGCTCTTTAAGCGACTCTTATCTAAATGCATATAAAGGAGAGGTACTAAAGAGTAATAATAGTAAGGATAAAGTAAAGGTATAATAGTATTACGCGAGTAGCTATATAACTCTCTATATAAGTAAGTAAGATCTCTAAAAGAGTAGTAGGATAAAGACCTACTACTCTTTTAGCGACTCTTATTAATACCTAAACACTAATATTAATATCTACTACTCCTACTACTATACTACCCCTTTACTATCTACCTATATCCTCCTCCCTCCTCCTACTCCCCCGTATAAATACCTACTACCTTAACGACCGCGAGGATAACTACTAGACCGGCCTTTAACCTACTTTTAATCGATAGAGGTCCTATTAGAGGAAGAAGAATTATCGACGTAAAGGCAAATAGAGTAGGAGCTAGGAATTTAATATTCTAAGAATAGTACTAACCCGTATAATAGCTCGAGTAAGTAGGATTTACTATTAACGAGGAGTAGAAGGAGCTAATAGAGTTAAAGGCTAGCCGTCGCTTTCTAACTTAAGATCTAATATTCGATCTAGCTATTAAAATCTATAACCGTTACTCCTA